AGAAATCTTAACGTCTCCATTACTATGTCTTCCTACTTGCTGCCAGGTTCTCCACCATGATGACATTGGACCTCTGAAACTGTATGCAAGCCCTGATTCAATTTTTTCTTTTATAGGAGTTGCCATGGTCAGGGTGCATCTTCACAGTAATAGGATACTGTCATTCATCTGGGTCCCAGATTTGTTAACCTTGTCATCAGAAAATAACCTAATCCACAAAGATATAAAGGCAATACAAATCAGAACCAAAACAAAGAAAGTTCCCATTCTACAAAATCTTTTCTCAGGCAGTAGATGTCAATACTATACTGAAGGTAGTTTATAAGTGGTTACAGAAAACAAGACGCAAAATAGAAAAAACCCTATAAGCTGGATATGCCATCTAGCCTCTATCAACTTTAAAATTCTTTGGGCCTCCACACATCTTTTTTTTTTTTTTGCATTTTCTCCCTTTTATTTTATTTTTTTTAATTTATTTATTTATTAAGGATTTCTGCCTCGTCCCCGCAACCGCTTCCCATTTCCCTCCCCCTCCCCCGATCAAGTTCCCCTCCCTCATCTGCTCAAAGAGCAATCAGGGTTCCCTGACCTGTGGGAAGCCCAAGGACTGCCCACCTCTATCCAGGTCTCGTAAGGTGAGCATCTTTAAAATCAGACACAGGCAACATGATTTAATAATCAATAACCACATGAGTAAAATGAAAAACATAGCCCTTGTTATAAACTCACACATCTCTAAATTCTATCATTTCTACAGTTATTGACTTTTCCACATCAGTAGTAATTGGGTTTACAAATATAATTAGATAGTTCTAAACTTTATTTTACAGTATTATAAAGTATTGTCAATATTTTAAGCCAGTATTATCACAACACTTAACATGATACTCATAAAGAAATGGGGCCATAAACGCTAATTCCATTAGTGTGACCAGTTTTCTACTGAACTCCATGAATCAAAGTCTTTTATTTTTTTTTCTTTTTTGTTATACACATGCCTTGGCAAAAACCAGGTCAAGTCTATAAGATTAGCACAAGTATACATTAAAATAATTTCAAATATTACATCTATATAGTACTATCTTTATGCACATTTCACATTCATGAGCATCCCCTACCCCCAGTGTGAAAAGCTGAGAGAACAGGAAAAGAACGAATGTTTAAGGTAAGTTCTTTTTCCTTCCAAAATTTATTAAACCACCCATATAACGAGCAATCTAATTCCTTGTAGAATTTGTCAAATTTAAATCAAAACAGCAGGCAAGATTTAAACTGGAAACCACTGAGGGCAAGAAAGAGTTTTCTGCCACTAATCTCAACTGCCACCTTCCCACATTGCAATGGTACTTTGCTGACAGTAGTTACACACAGTACAAAAACAGCACCTGAAACCTGTAACAGCTCAAAGGGGAAGTGTAGGGAAGCTATTCAAAGCCATCAACGGCATCTTTTGCAGAGCATAAGGATTTTGCCCTCTTGTATTACTGGCTGTTATACATTCTTTCTGAGACTATTGGGTTTATCTCACCAAATCATGATGATGAAGCCATAAAGCATGTTTTGTGGTTATAACTAGCATTCTGGAAAAACCAAGAGAACTTTAAGTTTTGACTACATATCCGTGGTGATTTGAAAAAGAATGGTACCCACAGGCTCATATATTTAAATGATTAGTCATCAGAGAGTAGACCTATTTGGAAGAAACAGAAGGATTAGAAGTGTGGCCCTGTTGGAGGAACAACAGTGCACTAGGGGTGAACTCTGAAGTTTCAAAAGTCCATGTCAGGCCCAGTCTCAGCTCTTTCTTTCTCCCTGCCTGCAGGCAGATCAGGATGTAAAGCTCTCAGCTACAGCTCTAGTGCCTGCCTGCTGCCTGCAGTTATACCCCCCACCCCATGATGATAATGGACTAAATCTCTGAAGCTGTAAACCAGACCCAGTTAAATACTTTCCGTTATAAAAGTTGCCTTGGTCATGATTCCTCTTCACAGCAACAGAACACTAAGACAATATCTATGGGTCTAGAGTGCATCAAAACCATACTCTTTCAATTTTTTAACACTCTCTATACCACAAAATCCTTTATAAACATAACAATAATTTTATGCTACCCACATGAAACAAAGGGAAGGCTGATTTGCTATTATTGTGTTGTAAAGGAAATTTACATGTGAGATACACTTGTAAGCGGTGAAGAATTTGTAATTGTGGTTCCTCCCCCCCCTTTTTTACATTTATCTATCACATGTGTGCATGCACAACAACATACATGTTCTGGTAAGAGGACAACTTTTTGGAGTTCATCTCTCCTTCCACCATGTGGATTCTGGGGATAAAACTCAGGTTATTAAATTTGGCAGTGGGTACCTTTACTTGATGTGGGAGCCCCCTCTGCGCTGTCATTATCATTAATGAGAAAAGAAACTGCCTTGGCCTGTTGATAGGGCAGAACTTGGGTAGGCAGGGAAGACAGAACTGAATGCTGGCAGAAAGAAGGAAGAGGGAGACACCATGGAGCTGCCAGAGTCCGATATGCCTAATCTTTGCCAGTAAGTCACTACAACAAGGCAATATACAGATTAATAGAAATTGGTTAAATATAAGAGTTAGCCAGTAAGAAGATAGAGCTAATGGGCCAAGCAATGTTTTAATGAATACATTTCTGTGGTTATTTCGGGGTTAAGCTAGCCAGGTGGCTGGGACTAACAAGCGGGGCCCCCTCCTACACTGACCTGCTGAGCCATCTCACTAGCCCAGAATATATAGTTTTTATTAGTTGCAGTAGTAACTTTGGAATGGCTTTCTGGATATATATATATTTTCTAATCTTGAGACTATCCCTACTTCTCTACTATCTTTTCTTATCAAAAACCCCATTTTTCAAAAATTCCAACAAAATCTAGTAACACATTAAAGTTCAACATTTCTAAAATTTTATTATTCTTAATACATACCTTTCACATACAGAAACCCTCTAACACCACACGATTCCATAACCCAAATGCTTCAATTTTATCAACATTCTTTAAGTATTTACACTGGCTTCCCTCAACAAAAGTGCAATCCAAACATTTTGACAAAAAAGTCTTTATAGACAACATATTTTTGAGCTGGTTTTCACGGTGTCCATTCATTATATTGTCTTTCCATTACCTGGAAAAATAATGAAGTCAACAAAGTATGACGATGAACTGAGCTAGGCAGCATTCTGCTATGGGAATCACACGCTAAACAAAAGTGCTTTCTCCTCACCTCTTCCCTGATCCTCCAACTGAAAGTACTCAATAAGTGCTTCAAGAGATTAAAAAGAAAATAAAACAAGTTAGAAAACAGGCACAGTGCAGACTGCACAGTTAGCACTGGTACTGTAAGATAATATGAAATACTCAGGAAGGTAGTCTAGCAAGTTATGAATCAATGTTAAGTTTTAGCATTTAAACATATAATATTCTTCTGTCATAAGTTAATTTTTCCCAAAAAGGTATGAAAATTTCCTTTACTTAGAAAAATGAACCCCTTTTTACAAAAATTGGAAATTAAAGAATGCTGGAAAAAGTCCTTTGTACACTAGAAAACAATTCACTCATCCCTCCATTTCATGGAATAAAGTCTACCTTTAAAGGTACAAGACCACTGTGACCAAGTGTTTTCCATGTGACTAGGTGATCGGATGAAAAAGGAGAGTGGAGAAGGCCTGAAGAGAAAATGATCAGAAATTAGCTTTTCTCAAAACGGAAGCAGAAAAGTTTTACTTGCTCAAAGTATGTAACTCTTTAAAAATAAATGACTCAAAGTGTTAAATTAGATAGAAATCACGTTAGATTATTAGTCAACCTCAAAACTACAAATTACCGGACACTACTAATGAGAAAAACAAAAATTAGATCTCCTGGATGACTGAATGCTGTGGGACAATGGTCATTTATCCTGTCACTTGTATTATTTTTATTAAAATGCTGACTGGCCAGTAGCCAGGCATGGCGTATAGGCAGGACGACCAGGCAGGAAACAGAGGTGGGACAATGAGAACAGGAGAATTCTGGGAAGAGGGATGCTCAGTCTCCAGTCATGACCCAGCTGCAGAGAAAGCAAGATGTGACTGCCTCGCAAAAAAGGTACCAAGGCATGTGGCCCACATATACAAGAATTATGGGCTAGTATTAGTTATAAGAATTAGTTAAACCGGGCGGTGGTGGTGCACGCCTTTAATCCCAGCACTCGGGAGGCAGAGGCAGGCGGATCTCTGTGAGTTAGAGACCAAGAGCTACAAGAGCTAGTTCCAGGACAGGAACCAAAAAAGCTACGGAGAAACCATGTCTTGAAAAATAAAAAAATAAAAAATAAATAAAAAGAATTAGTTAATAAGTAGAGCCTGAAATTCTGGGCCAATAAGTTTATAATTGATGTAGACCTCTGTGTGATTCTTTGGGAATGAATAACTGCAGAACCAGGCAGGACAGAAACCTCAAACAACTGAAGCCCTTTAATATTGCAACTACAACAAAAACGGTGGTGATCTTTCTTGAAACATTTCAATTCTAACCAATGCGTTCTGGCAAAGTTTGGTGAAAACATTAAGGTCAGCAGATTTCCAAAGTAATATTTACCCATAAAGCAAGTATTATACAGTCAATTTTATTTTACTCTTTAAATAAGCCAAATTTTCCTTTTCAGACAAAATTCAAATCAATCAACGATATAGCAAATGATAAGTATTAGAGTATGTGGCTCATGTTTCTCTTTGTATATAACTACACACATCTATAGTCCTCATTTTATCATCCATAAAACATCAAAATCAAATGTTATCCAATTATAGTGAAACTTCTTCATGTGGGGGTCAGAAAAACTAAGGAGCAAGAATAAAATGTGGCTTACAGTTCCACACTGTTTTGGGTTCTTGTTTGGTTTTTTCAATCTAAAGAACTCACTGGGTGCAAAAGATAGGTTGACTTCAGAACAATAACATAGTTTTACTAGAAAATGTCAATAGGTTAAAGAACAGCATTACAAGTATTTTATTTATTCTAAAAAATCAGGAACAAGCATGAAGACAAATATGGAATCTGAATAGAAACTTACCAAAATTTTAAACTTGAGTGTACAACAGATTCATAGGAAAACAGCTAACTCATAATTATAGCTTTGTGCATCAAAGACAAATTTGCAAATATTATATCCTATAGATCTAACGTAGTTGTATTAAACACCATCTGATCAATAATGATTATTGTTTGTCCTATGCAACTTCAGCATTTCTTGCAGATTATGAAACTTTTCAGATCATCAAACACAAAACCAGAAGTAACAAACCAACTGACAAAAAGTTTTAGTTTAGCATAGGTTTTTAAATGCTGTTGTTTCAAATTAAACACCAAGACTTCTATAGAACGTAAAACTCATTGGCAATAATGTTTAGACAATTATGAAAAGAAAAGCCCCCTGGGATGGCATAAATCAAGTGATATAAAATATTTACATGAACCCCAAATTTGCCTATTCATAAAACAGTTATTTTTAGTAGTCTTTTAATGTATATTTCTGTATCATACTTGAAATTACCAAATTCCTTCATGAGAAGTAATTCTTTAATTCTAATTCTATGAGGGATATCTTCAGCACATTCAAGTATCCAAGTCCTAGTGAACTTTGGAATACCCGGTGTTCTGTATGCAACTTTTTTTTTTTTAAGAAACAGTGAGGAATCATGGAAATCTTTAGGATGATCTATTTTCAGATATGCTCTTTGCATTACTGCTACCAAAATGAAATATACTTTTAAAAGAATAAAAACTGTTCTTCATCATTCTAACCAATTTCCCCTTCCTTCCTAGGTCAACTCTGATTTGGGGAACTAGTATTAAATGGGCTGATGTGGCAGTAGACACAATGAAGTGTAGCATGACTGGCTCTGGAGCGCAGCAGTTAGGCTAGAGGTTTGCCTCAGAAGATCTGGATACCACGCAACTGCTTCAGCAATGCAATCTGTAAACGATGCCCACCAAACCTACAGCATGTGCAAATTTTCTGTAGGTTCTAGAGACACGATCCAAATAACCACGTTCTGCTTTCTGCCCTCTTGATTCAGTATTCATCATTTCCAATTTCACTTCACAAGACCTGTTATATTCAGCTCACCTAAAACATTTACAACAGCAACAGTTTTCAAGTGTCAGATAATTTGGCTATTATTTCCGGTATGAAAACTGTTAAATTATACAAACTGTCAAAGAAAGCATTCAGAACTATTCTCAAATCACCTATCTATCAGTGGGAGTAAGCTGACCTCACCCTGAACTGAAGAACAGAGTCCAGGTAGCCTAATGCAGTACTGGCTCTCCAGGTTTAGACTTACATTCATTTGTCACTTATTTTTCCCAAGGCCCAAACATCTAACAGTGGGTCTCTCAAGAGAGCTAACATTAGAAAAAGCTTCCTCCCAACTCCTACCACACCTTTAGCGTCACCACAGAATCCAACACCTAAGTGGCACCCATCCTTCCTGCTACCTCAGTACTGCATCAGAGATTCTGCATGAGACTGAAACCCTACGAACCAAAATCTGTCCAATTTCCCATTTGCACTCCAGTCTTAACCACACACCAACATTTGGGAATTAAGAAAGGGCAAGGGGCAGCCCTCGTTTTAGTGGCACAAATATACAAAGTAAACTCTGTTTTAAATTAGAAAAGAAATTAATGTCACAGAATGCTCCCCTATAAAAGGTATGTAGTAAAGTAATAATATCAATAAAATAGCTATTACTAAAGCAAAGCTTTCATCAATAAGCTTCAAGAACTTTGAAGGAGGAGAATGGCTTCACAAAATGGTAGTCCAGGTTCCCACAGTGTGGACACTGCTGGACATTGCTGTACTCAGAGAAGTACTGCATTCCGATCCGTACGTCGATCACAGGCTTGCCACAGTGCTTGCAGTTCAGACGGGCCTGGGGAAACAGACATCATGAACCACAGTGTCACTGGTTTCACAATACTTATCCAAAGCCATCTGATCAAAGTGCTAGAAACTGACTAAAATTCAGAGAAGCATCTCCATTATTAACAGAATCAGGGTATGCACATCTAAGATACACATTCTGGTGTTTATCATTCTTCTAAAGATGACAGTCTCCCAGGTTCTCTATTAATATGAGGTGCCTATCAACGAGAGACTACCTGATCATCTCCACCAGTTACCTAACAGCGACCACCAATCCCCTGGATTTTAAGCAAATGGCTGAAACTGGCTCCCTGCACCCAAACCTACAATGAAAAACTTTCCTGAAGCGTTCAGGTTTATTTCAAAAGCTCATATACACTTTCATTTGATTCCACATAACATTGCTTTCTTTTATATAAAAATAAAATTTCTCAAAAATATCCAATCAAAATTGGCAATCTAGGCAGGAGTGTTACGTATATCTTGAGACTGCTGGAACTCACTAGCATGCGACATCTTCACCTGGGCCTGGGCCTCTAACAGCACAATCCTGGAGCCCTTCATAATAGATCTGGGAGTGAAGTGGATAGGCAGAAATTACAGATTAAACAGTCTTAATTTAGATCCTTCCTAAAAATGTGCTAACAAATTTGTCCTGAAAGCATTCCTGTGAGGGAGATGATGAAAAGGGGCACACAGTGATAAATACCATGCCCAAGAAAACAGAAAGCAGAACAGCTGGGATTTAAACTAAATGTGTTCCAGAGTGCACATTTCAGCAATACACGGACTTCCATCTTTCTGCAACCTAAAATGAACTCCCTTTAACTACATCATCCCTCTCTGAGTCTTGAGTATAATGTTCTCTTTAACCAATTATTCTTATTTTTGCCTCAGACCTACCTGGAATCCTTTGTAGTGCCTCCTACTATATCCTCACAATGAATACTTTCAAATGATTAATAATAAAGAGTAGTCAAACAGGTTTTCCATTTCCATTTCAGTTGGGGGGACCAGAAAATATAGTCTGGACATATATCAGCTTATATTTAGCGAGTGAATATGCAGTATATACTAGAGGACTGGGGGGCGGGATGCCATTGCATATTTCTATTTGAAGATATGAAAATCCCACGGCCTTTCAACGTGTAGTAGAAAAGTTCAGAATAGGAATCACAGGATTTAGTCACAGCTATGACACAATTTATGTAGACCTGGGCAAAACAATCAAAAATTTGAGTCATCCATTTTAAGCAACAACTCATAAGGCTGAGTGAGCTCTGCAAGGTCCCATGCAACACCAAGGTGCCATGAGTTTTGTTCACGTCCCTCCTGCTACATCACATATGTGTAGAGAACGGTGCCACTTCCTTTAGTTTCTCTCATCTTAGGGGTGGATACTAAGGCACAGCAGTAACCATAAAACATGACAGTGATTAACTAGAAGATTGTGGTAACTCATTTTCAAAGATAACCTTGAGTCTGGAAATGCAGTCAGTATACCACAAGAGCAGAAAACTAGTCAGCCTTATCCAAAACAAACAGCTGAACTACTATCTCTGCCAGCCTTTGAACTCAACAGAAACTGGTATCTACTGAAAAAAGTGACAACAGGAGGAGAAAATGTTCCTGCTACCCAGGAACACCTAGCAGGGAATTAGGTAATAAGTTCTTCCTCAAGCATGAGGATAATAAATTCAGGTATTCCTGGGGATTTTTGTCTTCTTAGTTTCTTATCTAATAGGGTTTGTATCAACCCCTTCCTCCTTTCCTTCTGGCAGTTATTCCTCAGGTGCTCCTAGAGTCAGAGAAGAATGCTGCTCTTCTAGCACTTTAAGAATTAGGAATTTTTCTGGCAATCTCACACAACTCAAGAGTGAGAGGTTTAGGTTTTGCCAGCTCCCACAGAAAGTAAGCAAGAGGAAAATTTGGTCTGTTGTAGAAAGTAAAACTTTCCTTTTCAGTGTAAATTATAACCTTTTGATACAAATGTAATACAAATTACTCACACAAAATGAGAAAATTACAAGCAAACAAAAAGAAAACTAAAGAAATCATGCACAGAAATCTAATCCCCAGGCCACCTGACCAGCTGCAGAGCTCAGCAGAGACTTTTAATGCTTAGTTAGAAATGGAAGCAAGATCCACAGCTAGATCTGGGCTGATCTCCTAGAGTTCGCTCAAAGAGATGGAGAACCAATAATACAAGCTAAGGGGTCAGGACCATGATGGTGATAGTCACAGAAACACTGACCTGAGCTAGAGAGAGCTCCCTGACTCCAGACAGTGAGGCAACTTGCATAGGACCAAACTAAGCCCTCTGAATATGGGTGACAGTTGTGTGGCTTGGACAGTCTGTAGGGCCACTGGCAGCGGGACCAAAATTTATCCCTAGTGCTTGAACTGGCTTTTTGGAGTCCATTCTCTTTGGAGGGATACCACACTCAGTCTAGATATAGGGCTGAGGGCCTTGGCCCTCCTCAAAGTGATAGGACAGACTTTGTTGAGTCCCCATGGGAAGTCTTACACTCTCTGAGGAGAGCACGGCTGGAAGGTGTGGGGACAGGAGGGGAGGGAAGTGGGATTAATATGAAAAGTGAGAAAAGATTGTTTTAAAAAACAAAGAAGAATTAAAAAAATAGAAGCAAGGTAAGTTTTGTAACACTTTTTTCTGACATAACAGATGGAAAATACTCCAAGTCTATTACTGTACATATCTCTCTCTGACTACATAATACTCTTCTACAAGATAACAACTAAGGCACTTGAATTATTCTTCACCCTTAGAAGCACCGTCTCCAAGCCCTCACAACTCCCTCAAGGTAACCACCAGGCAGCCTTTAACTCTCTAAGGTACCTTGGTGGCAGAAGTCCAGTGTCACCTACTGCACCCTCACTTCAGTGGATACCAACCTGACAGCAGGGAGAGGCGGCCAGGATGTCGTAGGTGTACATGGTGCCCAGCTGGTGCCAGCTGCCATCCCACCGGGACTTGCACTTGATGCAGATGATCTTGTGAACCCCTTCCAGACAGTCCACACACACTGCATACAGATGCATGAGTCTCCCTGCACACAGAAAGCACAAGGCTGAGGGTGGCTATGGTGGAAAGCATCTTCATCTCCAGTGGCAATACAAATGCCCTCGTAAACAACAAAAAGCAAACATTTTATCAGTTGAATAAATATGAAAAGCAAGGCAGATTCCATCATATATCCTTAAGCAGTCCTGTTAGGATAACAGAGAATTATTGCTATCAAGATCACAAATTCAAACTTATTGAAAATAGACACTTGCTTTAATTTACTTTTCTAAAATGTGCTTACATTGTCTGCTCATCCAAATCCAAACAATAAATTCACATGCTTATAACCAGCCTGGAATCACCAGGCTTCTCCAGAGTCTAAGTGCAGCATACAATGAACCAACAGGAACCAACACCACTGGCCTGATGAGTTGCAAGCCACAAAATATTCATCAAAAAACATCTGACTCTGTATTGTCAGCCCAGAATTTTACCATAGCCACAATTACTATGTTAACTGTCCTCATTTCCAAAACGGCCAGGCTAGCACCGCAGCTAATTTAGGAACTAGAATTACATGTTACTTGTGATACATTACAAGTCCAAAGTATTGTGTACTGGATTCTTAAAGTCACAACTTCATTCCTTCACTGTTCATCAAGGACCTGAAGTCCAAAATATTATTTACTGGGTTTTTTAAAGTCACAGCTTCATTCCTTCACTAGGACATAATGTTTATAAAGGGAACAGGCCAGCCAATTATATGAAAAAGGTAAAGGCTCAAATAATTAGCATGTCCAGGATCTTCCTTGGTCAATATGTAACAGCAACACTGCTGAGAACAGAGAGCACTCTAGAACACGGCTGAGATCAGGGAGCACTCTAGAACACAGCTGAGATCAGGGAGCACTCTAGAACACTGCTGATAACAGGGAGCACTCTAGAACCCGGCTGAGATCAGGGAGCACTCTAGAACACGGCTGGGAACAGAGAACTCTAGAACACGGCTGAGATCAGGGAGCACTCTAGAACATGGCTGAGATCCGGGAGCACTCTAGAACACAGCTGAGATCAGGGAGCACTCTAGAACATGGCTGAGATCCGGGAGCACTCTAGAACATGGCTGAGAACATGGAGCACCCTAGAACACGGCTGAGAACAGAGAAAACTCTAGAACACGGCTGAGAACAGGGAACAGCACCCCAGAACGCTGCACAGTGGATGTGCTGTTCACTACCAAAAGTCAGACTAAGGGTTTTTACCAGTTACTTGCAAAGACCAGCTCTCTTTGTTTTTAACCGCAAGGGCACCTAGTGGTCCATAGAGGGAAGCTTTCCATTGCATTTGCTTCCGTGGACCTTTTTTTTCTTGAGAGCAGGACCCATACCTTATCGATCCTTGTCAACCTGAGTGTCCAGCATAATGTCAGCAATGTGAAAAGCTCTGTGTGCTGAATGAATAATAGATGGGGCATGACACTATAAAGTGGGGGATGCCTAGGCCAAAACCAGGAAGAGCGAGCTTCTTACAATGCCACCCACCCCTGTTCTTAAACAGTGAAAACAAGGTTTCGCATGCCAAACCCACTGAGCACCTGGGATCATATCCAAAAGTCAATTCAATTATCTGTGAGCCACTAGAACACTTTGTTTCCAGTCTCCTCCTTGGTCCTACCTGAGACGCATCTATGCTGCTAATAGAAGTGAACACCAGACACGGAAGATGTTAGTAACAATGGCTGTGATGATGAAGACAAGAACATTCCCTGTGCACTTACCAAGGGTCTGCTCTGGGCTGTGAGTCCTCTATCAATGACTTCATTCAACTCTCACTGCAATGCTATACAAAGGACTCATGATTGTTATTCCCATTTCAAACAGGAGAGACAGAAGATTAAAGAGCCTGGGTAGCTTGTGAAAGCTTACAATGAAAATAAGGAGGCCGGGCAGTGGCGGCGCACGCCTTTAATCCCAGCACTCGGGAGACAGAGGCAGGCGGATCTCCGGGAGTTCGAGGCCAGCCTGGTCTATAAGAGCTAGTTCTGGGACAGGCACCAAAGCTACAGAGAAAGCCTGTCTCGAAAATAAGGAGCCAACTCTTGGGAAACCTGAGTCAAAACCTAGTTTCTGGATTTATTTTACATTATCATTCCACCAAGTCCTATCCAGAGAATTTCTGAGCCATAGGAAAGATTATGTAAGCAGAGTCCTTTTGGGACAATGACATATAATACAAAAACTAGACCATCTTACGTATGAAGACCAAACAAAACCATTTCCTGAATCACAGAGAAGGGGCTGGAAGCAGAGCTGGGGAGGATCAGAAGGAGTAAGGGGCAAAGCAAGGGAATAACAAAACACAGTAAACATCTCAGCAACATATAATTAACTGAACGGAGGAATTCCATGCCCAAGAATGTGGTCATTCTGTTGGAACTGAAAACGCTTTAAAAGCGTGGTTGGGATAAGAACTTGCTATAAATAAGATCACCCAGACTTCTGAGGTGCAGCAATAGAATCACTGACCCATGGCTAATATATTTTTTTTGTGGTACTGGACTTTAGTATTCATTAAACTCCGACTACAGATTTGAAAACCAGAAGTTTGTCAGTACCCTGTAGAGTGCATTGACCACCACCTTATATTATCTCTGTGTATGCTTACATACCAGTGTGCATACTGACAGGCAGGCCTATCTAATTTTTGCCTTTCTCCGTCCCCTCCCTGATCAACGCCCTCAGAATTTAGTCTTGAGCTTTATCACAGTCATTTCCTCTTTTCTTGTCACTGAAGACTTTTATTGCCAAGATTTAGCCACCAATGTTAAAAATAAGCTCCCACGTGTTCACCCCAAATGCTTGTTTCTAACAGTGCTTGCTAGATATCTCCACAGAAAATGAACTAAACATATTCAAATGCTCTCCCCTTCTTTCCCATTAAAATGGGACTTTTCCCAACCTTACCTACACTTGCCTGTGAAAGCATCATTTATCTGGTCTGGAATCAAGGTGAACTAAAGAAGACCCTTTTGTATAGTCAAGATACTCCAAATGGGCAATTTCTTTAAAAAGCCTCCTGCAGCTATCTCTTCTTTCTAATTCTCACTATCTCAGACAGTAGCTTCTCATCTTCATGCATATAGATATGACAACGTTTCAACCCCGACTCTAGGTCCCAAACCTTCCAAGCAACGTTTTGGGGGTATATTATTATAGGTTTGTTTTTTAAATGCTGAAAAAGCTCTCAATTCATAATCACATGGCAAAGGGTTTCTACAATGGCTTGAAAGGAACGCCCTGCCTCACCCCAGCCTGCTCTCCACATCTCCTACTCATTTTCCACTCTGCAACATTTCCAACCAAACAGTTCTCTTCATCTCCTCATCATAACCTCACTGGTTTTCTTTTAGCCACCATCCCTCATACTGCCTTCATACTGCCTCCTGAAGATCCAAACCCAAGTGGCCCTCTCTTCCTTGGAAATCTCAGAATACTCAATGTACAGGATTACATAATGTGTACATACTATTTACTAATTCCATGTGTGATGCTATTAGTCAGCCTCGGGTTTAGGACGGTCAGTTACATTTTATAAAATCATTTTATATAGCAAGATCATACACTGATGACTTCATCTAGCACATCTGCTAAGTTTGACTGACAAACATATACTTGGTGGACACAAAAATAAATATGTCCATCATAAGTACCCTAATTCATTTTTATAAAGTATGGTCCGAGTTTTAAGGTATAAAAATAAAATAAAGGTGTTTCTACCCACTTCTCTCTAAAATTACTAGCAGTTGTGCTCAATAAAAACAAAAACACAAATTCCACTTCTATAAAACAGGAAGAAATCTAACTCCCATATAACTGTGTTTCTGTCACTGACCATTCTCTTTCCCACCCTGGGAATGGTGTCCCCTACCCTTTCTAGTCTTAGCCGAACACTATTCAATTCTATACTTTTGAAATCAGTTGTTTTTGAGTTTATAGCTGAATGAGATCATATGGATCATATGGTTTTGTCTTTCTGTGCTTGGCTTATTTCATTTAATTATGTTCTCCAGCTTTATCCATTTGAGTAAGTTCAAGGTGAATCCTCACCCACTATCAATAGGATGTAGTACAATCATGACAGAAAACAGCAGAGTTCTCTCAAAAAATTAAAATTTGAGCCAGGCATGGTAGCTTACATCTTTAATTCCAGCATTCTCGAGGCAGAGCTAGGTTAATATCTCTGAGGTCGAGATGAGCCTCATCTATATAGCCAGTTCCAGCCAGTAAAAGCTACAAAGATCATCTTTCAAAAATAAATACACAAATAAAAAATATGAATTATCTAACAATAACAATAGAATATGTAAAAAAAGAAACTTTTAATTAGAATACCGTATGATCCAGAAATCACACCATGGGTATGCAGCCAAAGGAAATGAAATCAGTATGTCAGAAGTGCTTGTACTCCCACAGTCACTGCAGCAATACTCTTAACAGCGATGGACTCAAACCAAGAGTCCACCAAATGAGCAGAGAAAATACTTTTGTATATATACATATACACACATATTTAGCCATAAAAGAAATTTAATCATTGTCAGGAATATTGTTTTCAGGTGTGTGATTTTTGTTTATGCTGCATTTGTTTAATTCTGTGAAGCTGTGTTACTGTGCCTGTCTAAATCACTTGATCATCCTAATAAAGAGATGAACGGTCACTAGCGAGCCAGGAGCAAGGCTAGGCAGGGCTAGCAAGCACAGAGTATAAATAGGAGAACTGAAAAAGAGCAACGAGAGAACCAGAAAAGGAGGACACCAGGAGCCAACCACCTAGCTACACAGCAAGTCATGGAGAAAGAAGCAAAGATATATCAAATGAAGAAAGATAAAAGCCCAGAAGGCAAAACGTAGTCAGGATAATTGTTAAGAAAAGCTGGCAAATAAATAAATGAATAAGAAGAATAAGCAGCAGCAGCAGCAGCCGCCGCCAAGCTAAGGCCAGGAATTCAAAACTAAGAATAAGACTCCATGTGATTTGAGTTGGGTGGTAAACCCCACCAAAAGAATAAAAGGTCGCACAACAAATCAAACTGCCATAAAATGGATAAACCTGAACATTATATTAAGTAATAAAAATATGCCAAGGTCAGACTAATATCATATGATTCACATAGTTGTGGCATGTAAAGGTACTGATAGGAGTACAGAAGTAAGAACAATGGCTACCTAAGGCTAGGAAAGGGAGGGAGGATGAGATGAGTGGGAAGAAGCTGGTTAAAGGACACACAACTACTTACAGTTAGAAGTAAAAGTTCTAATGTCTCACTGTACTGTAGCAACTATAGTCAACAGAATGATGTAGTGTTCTTCAAAATAACTAGGGTTTTGAATGTCTTGCCAGAGATTATAAATATGAGGTGAATGGTATCTTCATTACCCTAATTTATCATTACACAATATAAACAGGCATCAAAACATTACACTATAAACAATAAATATGTACAACTGTCTTAATTAAAAACACAACTTTAAAAAAAATCCCAAACTAGCCTAGTGAAATATGAAAGCAGACAAAGAACCCATTCCAGCTGGGGCAACAAAGCCAACCAGCCTGTTACCTGTTGGATATGTAGAAGCCAACCAACCAACCCTGCCATGGAACTATAGGAGGGCTTTAAATCCCAACAGGCCACAAGGCTTTGTGGTATCTATCCCACCTCATAACAAAGGCTAAAAGACTCCAGAGAATCATGCAAAACACACAAACAAGACTAATCCTAACTACTCCTAGCTCCTTTTTCTTCCTCTGGAAGATAATAAAAGAAAGTGTGCCTGAGAACCAAGAATGTGGTACTATTGAAAAGTCCCTGAAACTAGGCTTGCTGGTGCACACCTGTAACCCAGTATTTGGGAGGCAGAGGCAGGCAGATCTCTGCAAGGTAAGTCTGATCTACATAATGAGTGTCTCAAGAAATAAAACAAAAACAAATAAGCCTCTGGAAATTAAAAATAGTAGAAGACAAATCCAAGAAAATGCTCTGTTTCCAGAAAGTATAACAGAATATTAGAGACAAGTAAAGATAAACCCAAGGATTTCCTTTCCCATCAAAGGGGAGTCGGGAATGTCAATCTAGGAGGTATGGTGTCACATCAACAGGAGTTCCAGTACTGTAAGTGTAAAAAGAAGAATAAATATATAAGTGTAAAAAGAAATAAACCAAAAGTAAGGAATCTCCAGAGTGAGGATCTAAGTATATGTATTCAACAATCCAAGACAGTCTACAGTAAATGAAGGGGACAAGGGCTGAGGAGCACATCGTGGTGGGATTTCACAACACTAGGGTCCTGAGTGCTCCAGGCAGAATGGAGATAATGGGGATGAAAGCCTTAAGAGATGTTTACAGAAGAGAAAAACTTCAAAAACTATGTTAAGTGTGTAGAAGTGGTTTACAAAGCTGCTAAAGGAGAGCAACCTTCCAAAGTTAAAATACAAAAAATAAAACCATCACTCTCAGGCACTTGACCCTTCAGATTCTACACCAACAGTTAGCTCTTAATGCATCAGTTCTCAGGGAACTGTGATTCTGCAGCCATCCTGGGCTACACAGCAAGATCTTTGCCTCCCAAAACAAAATAAAAAATCTAAGGCAATGAAAACATGAAGAAAAGAGCTCTCATTTAAAACAGTGTCCTTGACAAGACTGTTTCTATAATGGGAATATATATCTTGGTTCAACAGCACTAACAGCAGAAACACTAGGGATTTATCCCCAGAGGGAGATATGTAGTCATCCGCCTTAAACACCAGTACAGGCAGAAGACAGTATCTAAAACTGGAGAATGAAAATAACTATTTAAAACCCTGATGTCAAAAACCTTGAAGAATCAGCATTTCTAAGTGTTTGGCTCTGGGGGCGGAGACAGCAGGGTTTAGTGGGAAGAAGACAGGAGTCGTTTTTATCTGATTCTCTAGCATTTTGTTAAACTCATATATCATGCATTTCTTCCTTTTGGACAACAACAATTTTAATTTCACACCTACACTGACCAACTCTTTGCCTTTCAATTTATAACTAAAATGTGCCCAAGTCTTTGTCAAACAAATAAGCTAACCATTACACTCCCTCAACCAAGGTCATTCCTGGGCTTTCAATCATCCCCCATTTTCCTTTTGATGCTATCAATAGTCTTATCTTTCACAATTTTAAAATTAATTCAACAAGTCATACGGGCCCTTCTTGTTTCCCGCTTTCCCAGTTTACAGGGATCACAGCCTGCTACGCACATTAAAGGATTCAAACTATTTCACAGCAAAGAGAATAATGTAATTCCTTCTCTAAGTTTTTACTGTTGTGAAAAGCTAAATATCAGTGGTCCTTTCTTCAAATTAGCACAGAATAAAGACATAAAATTACCCACCAGACCACCTGTACCCAGTACAGTGACATCAGAATACAAAAACCACCAGCCCACTGGGTGAAGCTCAAATACTCATGTTACCTAGCCCTTGGCTAGAACAAAAACATGTCAGTTGTAATAAAATTTTTAAAAATGCAATTCCATCTTGTTTGCTTTTTGGGTGTTAACAAACAGAAAGCAGGCAAGGTGAATCAACACCTATACCTTGAAGGTGACAAGGAACATCATATTCAATCTCATCATGTCTTGAGGGGCTTAAGAACAGAGTTCCATCCACTAGTGGGAACTGTTCAAACACAGGAAGTGCCCGGTGGCACAAAGCGCAGTTTACAACATTTCTGTGGCTGGCACTGAGGGCTGCAAGAATGAACTTCCGTAGATCCTCGCCTTGGCCCACTTGGGCGTCGTCTTCCATCCGAACATGGAAAGTGTTCAGCTTATGCCTGGGGATGTGAGCGAGAAGTTCAGAGAGGTCCAATCGCCGCAGGAACTGTACAGGGGTGTCAAAGTGTCCTCCCCTGTGTACAGACAGCCCAGCTGAACTGTAATCAAAGTGGGCATTTCTGAACACATGGCCCCCAGGCATGGCCTTTTTGTGAGGCTCAAGATGAATGGCATTCTTTAAGAATTCCCCAAGGTATCTGGAGGAGCGGGGACCACTAAAGTGGGCTGGGGAGAGGATAGAGTAACCAGAGGGTGGGGACTGGCCAGGGGAGCCACAGGGGGAGCGGGCCCCATAGGCTGCAGCATTAACTGTCTTTTCCTGGGAGTTCTGCCTGTCCATGGAATGCCGCCGGGGAAGGTCATGGTTCAGGCCTTTCTGGGACTTGTTCAAGGGCCTGCATTTTTTCGCCTCTTCCCCAGCCTCCCCTGGAGGCCTTGCTGAGTTCTTCTCTGACCCAGACTTCTTCTTTTTTTCATCTTGCATCCGCTTTACCTGGTACCAGTCTGTGTCCTTTTTTAAGTGGCCCTGCCCACAGCGGCAGGAGCAGAAGCGGAAAGCCAGGTCGTAGCCCTTCTTGGTCCACATGTTCTGGCGGCACTGCTTCTCGTTCCAGCTGCGGGCCCTGCCAATGCAGTTGAACTGCACCAGGATGCTGCTCTCCCACTCATAGAAGCACTGCAGGTGCATCCAGGTGCTGCACGGGCAGTGCTCGTTGTTGCACACCACCTTCTGGTAGTCATCCTTTTCCAGGTCCACTGGCCTCCCAAAGCTGCAGATCAGGGGCGTGGCACAAGGAGCTTCTAAAAGAAGAATAAAAGAGAGTCAGTACATAGGATATGAGGACTCCAATCTATCACCATTGGCCAATACATGTCAGTTATAACCACTGGAACAAATACCAGGCAGATTTAGAAACATTCATTATTTTCTTCTAATATGATGCTGTCCCAAAGGAATTTATTTTCTATTATTAAATATCTGCTGAAAAACATACTGGTAAGTTTCAAGAAACCCAAATCCTTCATAGATCAACTGTGTTCCAGGCCTTCTGACAGTGCAGTATAAAGGTTTCTCAAGATGTGGGTATAATAATAGGCAGTGCCAGAGTTCCTTTAAAAATGAGTCACTGAAGTGCAGCTAGGAATTAATATGAAGCTACTAAACCAACCAGTTCTGGTGGTGTCTGTGAATGTTTTATCAGGGGTTTTAGATTGTCCTGAACAGCAAATAGCATTGAGAAAATAGACCAGTCTCATCTCAACTTTTCTTCTAGAGTCATCAGATACTAATGGCCAGGATGTCTGACCAAACTAACTATTGGCCTACACAGAACTCCACTGTCCAGATGTGAAAAAAACAACCATATTTTCTTTCTCTCCCCTTCTTCCCCCCCCCCCCCCTCTTTGATACTTGAGACAGCGTTTCTCTGTAGCTTTGGAACCTGTCCTGAAACTAGCTCTTGTAAATCAGGCTGGCCTGGAACTCAGAGATCCACCTGCCTCTACTTCCCGAGTCCTAGGATTAAGGCATGCACCACCACTACCTGGCTGAAAACAACCATTCTCTTAAAGTATTCAGACAGAAAGCAACAAAGAAGTACTTCTGCAGTCTTACACATGTTACCCATGCAGAGTTCAAAACTAGCAGCTTCCCAGAAGTGAAGAAAACATAGTAACAAAGCAGGTCCATTCTTAAGAGGTATTTGTTTGCATGGAGACTGACAGATACCAGAATCTTACAGCTTCTCAACGACCACCTAGTACCTGGACTTAGAATATGCCTTTTAAAACCATCAAGACCACCTGTGATAGAGGCTAACAAGATCAGTGGTCACCAGAGAGGGTCAGTGCAGCTACTCTGTTATGATATACTGCGACAGAAACTGCATATCATTGTACCCTTATCAAAATCCACAGCACATAAACACCAGCAGTGAACCCTAAAAGTTAGCTTTAGAATTCAGTGCTGCTATGTATCAACAGAGGCTCAGGACCCAGTTTGTGTGCAGAACCTGCTGACAGTGGGGTGAGAGGCTCCATGTAGGGGTGATAATAGAGAGTACAAACCCATTAACTGTATTTTCAATTTTGTTTCAATCTGCCCTAAAAAATAATATTTACTTTTTAAAGTGGGGGAAGAGGCAAACGGGTAAGTACCAATTCCAAGGAATACTAGCCCCAAGAAAGTGGGATGGTATTTTACTTTTAAAAATGTGTATAATGTGTGTGTATTTAAATTTATATAGCAAGGCTATAATTTTTAGTGAGCGCTAATGCTTAGAAAGTTGACAGTACCTAGCATATAAAGCTTACTACTGTTGTTACTACCATGAATGGAAATCTTACTATACAGTTATGGCATTTTTATTCGTCAAAGAAGCTTTGTAAGGTGTTACCTGAAGCTCTAAGAAAGAGGTAGTAAAATTAGCAAAACGTGTATCCAAAGTGGGAAATTAAGAATCTAGCAGGGCAAGAACTGAGTAGACACAGTTCTGGCCATGCCAAGGAAGAAGACATGATGCCACAGGCCCACACTAGCAGCTGCCAGTTATGTGTGCAGAGGCTAAGAGTGATTACCTGCCCAGAAAAGACTAGCACACCAAACAACAAAGCAACAGGCTAGCCCCAACTGGCCTCTTTGCACTTCTACAGTTTTTAACATAATTTATTAATTCCCCTTAAGTTCCAGTCCATATTTCCATGCTGTTCCTCTTAAGACTCCTGCCGGGATTTGTACTCAGCATTTCTCTCTTCACTTCCCTAAGTAAAACCAAAAGCAAAATTTACTATTCCTTAACAAGGGCACTACTGGCATCTGGATACTTCTTTATAGAGTACATTATGTGTCCTAAGCATTTGACCTGTATAACCCCACCCACCTCAACTTCCTATGATCTGGAGGTGGTCTACCGGGGCTGGATTCCAGGCCTTGCCCCATGCTAGGAACATGTTCTACCAGTGTGCTGCACCCCCAGGTCTACCCAACTAGAAATCATTGGGCTTGATCCTAACAGTTCCAAGTGCTACACGGAGGTATTTAAAACACATCTGCTGTAAATGTGATGCTAAGAAAGCATTATGAGACTTAAAAGTTGTTTTAGATTACATACCTTCAGTGGTGGTACTGTGAAAGTTGGGACAGACAGAAAGAAGGGTGTTGATCGAATGTAAGAGCCTGAACTTAGGGAGCAATGTCACATATCTGTCAGTGCAGGAGACACAGAAGAGCAGTGATCTGACTGACTTCCCTATTCGGGACCTGATGAGCAAGAAGTACCTGTGTGATGGGTATGACCAGAGCTCAACTGAGTTCAAAAATAGAGTACAGATGGAATCACACATTCAGAGATGCAGGTAAAATTCCTGGGACCCAAGAAACATGGAAAGAGAATATGAAACATAAACATAAAAAATGGATTGGGAAGAGAATTGTGACTAGCAAGTCTGTTACAGAGAACAGTAAAGCAGAAAGAGAATTTACTCTAAGACAAGTCAAGAGAAAATTATGCCAAATCAGTCATGGGAAATACTTAAGAATGGAGATTAGTGTTATATCCTTGAACAAGACCAGTGTTTCAGAGCATCTGCACTACTGACAATTTGGGAACTAGATAATTCCTGTGGTAGGAGCTACCCTGTGCTATAAGGTATTTAGCTACATTCTTGCCTCTCACCTCATTGTTACCAGTAACATTCCTTCCCTCAGTTTTAAGGCTGAGAATGTCTTCAAACATTTACAGATACTCCCTGGAGGGAAAAAACGGCTGGTTGAGAAAAGGTAAGGTAAAGTTAGAAGCTCACAGAAGGAGTAGGGAACCAAGCACTGCCATCCCTGAGATAACTACCCTTGTAGTGTCTAGTGTAAGAGAAAAATGGTGGGCAAGACAAAAGTGAAGCGACTACATGCACATAACTCTCCAAGAAATTTGTATGTAGACACAGGGGGAAGAAAAGAGAATGAGAATGGAACAGAGGACAGTGAAGGCTGAGGACAGAGCATTTCCAGGAACTCAGGGCTCTGCAGCTTGAAAACATAGCACAGGGAACAATGAGAATTCGTACCTCCTCAGAAACCTTTGCAAGTTCACCACTGCCCATTGAGTAACCAATACACCATCCCACAAAATCCAGCACACAGGTGGATAGACCCTTAAAGCCTGTGCAAATACTAGCTATGACTCCTGCATTCCAATTACCTCCTTCAGAGTGGGATGGCAGGGCCTCAGAAAAATAGCCCTAAATGACTACCGTGGTTTCTCCAGCTGCCTCCGAGGACTCTAACTCTTAATCTTCATTTGTCTAAATCTCATTTTGTACAAGAGAGAAAGTCATAGTGTTAATTCTGCCACCAGAATGCCTGCATCGCTAAATGCCAGTAGCATTTCTAACAGTGGTTCTCAACCTTCCTAATACTATGACCCTTTAATACTGTTCCTCAAGCTGTGGTGACCCCCCAACCATAAAATCATTTTCATTGCTACTTCATAACTGCAATTTTGCTACTCATTTATAATCAGGGACTGAATAAAGTTTCATTAAAGGAAAAGGGCATGTACGCTCACACATGACAAAAGCAGAAGAGCTGTCATGGAAAAAGAGCCAAATATACTAGAGCACACTGAAAAAATTACAAGAATGGTTCCTATTGAGTAATCTAAGTCACCTGGACTGTGTCCTTAAAAATGTTAGTCAACTAAACAAAATTCAGTTGATTTAAACTTTAATTCTTCATATCTCTGAAACAGAATAGTACTAACCTAGATATATGTACTCAGAATTAATTAAGGGTGGCTATTGATTTCTTCATTCACAATATTCAGAATGCTCCCTTAAAAATAGACTAAGATGGACTAATAAGGGGCAACTGTATTTATATCATTTTCAAAAACAGCAGATAGATATACTTAAATCTAAGCATCAAGCACCTCCTACATAACAGATCTTTGAAGTCGGAAGAGTCAGAAACTTGTACTAAGAGCTCAACACAAAGAGACTGAAGTCCATAGCTCTGCCTACACATCCCTGTCTCTCTGACACCATCACTCATCACAGTTAGTCTCACCTGCTTTCTACCTTCAAGTTTCTACACTGAAAGTCCCTGCTATAGTGTGGACATAGCTGGGTGCTTGGTTCCCATTACAGAAACATGAGAGAATATGGTATCAATAAGAGGTGGGGCCTAATGGGAACTGTGTCCTAGGAAGAAACTCTGGTCTCTGGCGCAAGAGTATGGTCACTGGGTTGCTCTCTTTCTTGATGTTGTCTTAAGTTAGGAATAATTCTGAAATGTTAACTATAGTAACCTAAGTGAGTGATGACCTGTTCCTGTACTATTTGTACCACTATCATATACTATAACATGATATAGCCATAAGGACCCTGCACAGAACTAGGCCCATGCAGATACCGTGCCTGGAACCCCCAAATATGTAAGTTAAATAAACAAAATCTTCCTAAGTAGCCTGCCTTAGGTATTTCACTAGGGCAATGAGAAGCTGACTAATATAGTCACCACTCCACCTTGTCAGTCCTGCATGTCTGCACACCACTGAAATGTGGCCTTGTAGCTAGGCCACAAAAACAAAGACAAGAGCCTGCTTGACATCGAGTAATACATTCAGCAGACACCTCACTCTATGACATACCTCCAAATTCAGAGTGAAGACAGAAGGAAGGCAGGAGATTAAGCAATAAGATGACTAGAAATAGTAAAAGGAAGAACACATCAGGAACAGCCCAGAGACTTCCGTTTGTGCCCTCACCTCTTATGTGGTCTCCTCTTCCCCTGTTCCCCCCAGACA